CCTCATGTTGTCGCCAATCTCATCCCACCTAGCCGTAGTTTGCCCGTAGGCCGCATCGTACGGTGCTACTAGTGCAACCTCTTTAAGCAGGTCAACGTCGGCTGCGATGGTGAACCGAAAGGCGGTCTTGCGCTCATTTTGCTCTCAAAACAATCACTGGCTTGTGTTTAAAGTTCTTCCCTGTGGGAATTGTGCACAGGCAAATTCCAGAATCAAATTTCCTTGTGTGCGCGTTTCTATAGCGCACAGGGAAAGTCCACAAGAATTTTGTGTTAGCAAAATCGCTCTAATGCGGGGGAAAACTGTATCCGAATTGTACACAAGCACAAAGCACGCCGCCTGTCGACAGCGCCTTGCATCCGTCTTTTAGAACTCGTGGAGGTGCAAACTGTCGTGCTGACTGCCTGCCGCGTGACAATCACGACGTTGTCACGTCAATCCGGCCACAAGCACTCGCCCCTCCGATCTGGAATGGAATGCCTTTTTTCGATTGGAAAACGTTGGAAAACGAGATGTCGTAGATGCGACGTTGCAATCCATCGCGCTCGATGTGGTTTTCGTCAAGTGTTGTAGTAACCGTTAATACGTGCTACACTTGGTGCTCGTTGGAGCTGCAGCATCCAAACCAGCGCAGATGACGAGTTCGTGGTGGATGCAGTCACATGACCCGCTACGTGTTGGAAAAGCGCAAGGGGGGATCATATGGCATGAAGTTAGTGTGCCCGGTCGATGTGGTAAGAACTTGGACTGCAACGTTTATCGTCGTTAACGTTGAAACGAGGGTGGGTTGGTAGTCCATATCCATCCCCTGCTTGGATTTCGCTCTCGATTGGCATTGTCCACTTCACAGCTTGCAATTGCAATGCTTTTTGTAAACCAGTGCGGGGTGGGTTTGGGCGATTACTCGAATCGACGCTGCATATGCGTCGTGGTCCGCGCAGCTCGTGAAGCTTAGAGAGTACCCACAAGGAGTGGGCACCACAACCCGCGGCTCTGGTTCAACAGATGCGATGAATATCCCGTACATCTCTCTTCTTGGTTCAACCATGCAAGCTAAATAATGTGCAGGACAAAACATGGGCTTGTTAATTTTCTTCGTCACATGCCGGGACGTTGATGCGAGCGAAGCAGCGATCGCGCACGACTTGTTCGTGCATGGGTTCGTCCGACGCCCGACCGAGTTTTTTTGTGCACATTCGAAGGAGTGACGGTGCCGCCGACCGACATGCACAATATTGATGCATGTCAGTATTTTGTCGGGATTTCCACCGTGGGTATGATGGGGCAACGACAGGGTTTGCCGCGATGGGGTTCGGATGATGCTCAATCTATTTTGCGTCACCCCATATCGTGAGCTTCACTTGAAGCGATTCTAGGGGTGGGAACTGAAGTCTCTTCGTGGGGCAAAGAATTGCACGACCGAAACATTAGGAAATGAAAAAATGGGTACAGCTTTCGTGGCAGCCATGCATCGGCTCGTACACCCAAATATCAGGAATGTATGTGCTTCATGTGACAAACATATGCCATACAGTACACATTGTCGTGGTTGTGAGTACTTTAGCTGCCAGCGGCACGTTCCCATAACATTCCGAATTCATGGACCCAAGGAAGAGACCAAAGTCAAGCACGGCTTCAAGCGTCGCCGAGGGATCAACATTACGATGCACTTAAACCTCTCGCAAGTGGACCCGATCGGGGCACTTGCATGTCCAACGCGAACTCGAACCAGCGATAGCCCTAGAATTTCCTTGGTTTAGCCCATTTTCCAAGTGTTCATTCTTGGTAACATGCCTGGACCCATGGATCGCAGAAAAGCGACAGCATTTATTGATGCGCGTCCAGCAAGTCTGACTGTGTGAAGGAAGGGACATCCTCACGGTTATCGAATTGATTCTGCTGGTCGTCCATGCCCCCCGGGTCTATCAAGCGCGGTCGAATTGCACATGCAAAAACATGATCCATGATTCTACCGCCACAACATCACATTACAGAGCACAAGCGTTCTGTGAGGCGTGGAACTTGCATCACTTGGCACCTGCAATTCAAAGCTGTCCACTACTAACAATGTTGATGCACACTCAATGCATTGTCTGTCTGTTGCCGCCTTCGACGTTCGAAAACTTTTTGGTGTCGCGGATGTGTCAACTCGTATATATTGGAAGTCATATTCGAGGAGCGCCCAGAAATGTAGCTCAAGGTGCAACTTCATTGGCAGCCCCCGGCCCGTAGCGCAGCAAAATGGCAGTCAGCCGTTGGCGTTGGCAGGTGGTTGAACAACAAGAAGACTAAAAATATCGACAGCAATGGCTGGTACTGTGCTTATAAATATCGTCGACAATCGTCGGGATGCAGGGTAACAAATCCTCATTGTCGAATCCGCTTCACAACACCACTACCATGCCTTCCAAGTCCAAGCAAAACCAAAAGCAACAAGCTGCCGCCCAGCAAAAAGCTCCCGCAGTGGTCCAACCAGCAACCGTCCACCAATTCCAAGCTCACCAAAAAAATCAGCCTGCCAAGGCCACTACCCCTCAAAAGCAAGAAAAAGAAGCTTCCAAGCAAAGCCAGGTGTTGAAGGCCGCGCCTGCATCGGTGGCCTCGCAGCCATCTCCAAAGGGCCCTCTCACCAAACAAGCGCCCCTGACTCCCTCGCAGCAAGTGGAGAAGCAACAGATTCTCAACATCTTGCTGGATGATGCTGGCAAGGACTGGAAGCCCCGCGACAAAAGTACCCTCCCTTCATCACCACCGTCTGGTCCTAACTCGTGGTTGTAGCCCCCAAGCAACAGACTCCTCAAAAACAAGCGGCCGAGAAAAACAACAAAAAGACTCATGCGCCTCAAAAGGCAGACCAAGGCAAACACGCCCAACAACCTCAAAAGGCGCCAGCCCAAAAGGCCCCATCTCAGACTCTCAAGCCTGCCACTGCCCCTACACTTGCCAACCGTGATTCGTTGAGCCAAGCTCAGAAATTAGAGCAGCAGCAGATCCTCAACATCTTGCTCGACGACGCCGGCAAGGACTGGAAACCCCGCGACAGAAGTACGAAACTGCAGCCTCACACTACCAAAGATGGAACGCTCAGAAAGTGTCTTGTAGCTCCAAAACAACCTGTTCCAAAGCGCGCTTCCAAACAAAAGGATGGAAAACAGCAAGCCCAAAAGGACCTCGGGAAGCAGAAAGCACAACCAGTGGCCATGCAGAAGAACCCCGTGAAGCAAGAAGCCAAAAGTGCTGCCCCTCACAGGGCTCCTGCACAGAAAGCTGCTCCTGCTCAACAAACGCAAAGGCCTACGACTGCGCCCGCCCTTGTCAAGCGTGCGTCATTGAGCCAAGCCCAGCAACTCGAGCAACAGCAGATCCTCAACATCTTGCTCGACGACGCTGGAAAGGACTGGAAGCCCCGTGATAAGAGTACGTTCACTCATGTTTCAATTTGCGAAGCTCATTACTTCGCTGTACAGAACTCAAGCAGCCCCCTGCCAAGCAAAATGCGAACCAAATGGGTAGCGGCAAACAAGCCCCTAAAGCTCAGACGACGCCATCTAAATCCCAAGCGAAGTCAATTCCACAGAGCGCCCCAGCTCGATCCGCAAAACCCGCCACTGGCCCTGCACTTGTCAATCGTGCGCCGTTGAGCCAAGCTCAACAATTGGAGCTACAGCAGATCCTCAACATCTTGCTCGACGATGATGTCAAGGACTGGAAGCCGCGCGACAAGAGTGAGTATATTGCACGCGTCTCTAAATATGATGAAGCAACAGGTGCTCATACAACATTGTAGCGCCAAAGCAACCTATTGCGAAGAAGAATTCCAAGCAACAGAATGGAAAACAAACCCAGAAGGCCCCCGTGAAGCAGCAAACTCAAAAAGCTGCCGCTCAAAATGCGGCCTCTGCGCAGAAAGCCCATCAAGTGCAAAAGCCCGCGACTGCCCCTTCCCTTGTCAAATGTGCGCCGTTGAGCCAAGCCCAGCAACTCGAGCAACAGCAGATCCTCAACATTTTGCTCGATGATGCTGGCAAGGACTGGAAGCCTCGCAACCAAAGCGCTTGGCCGTGGTCTCCCAAGGCGTCGACGCCTACCAAATCGCACACTCAGGCATCCCCTCAATCGAAGACGCAACACAACCAAAAACAGACTCCGCCTAAAGCTCCACCCAGTTCTCAACCCCAAAAGGCAGTGCCTCAAGCCAAACACATTCATGCCAAGGGTCAGCAGGGTCGCGTGAAGCTGTCCACTTAAAGACTGGATAGTACATAACGAATGCGTTGTTTCGTATTGGGGCTACAAAAGAATGAAGTACGCACAACCATGGGCGACTCATTACTTGGAATTCCCAGCCAAGAGTGAACGGCATGTCGTGTGCGAAAATAGGGGCCACCCACTCGAACCGAGCAAGTCTCTTAAACGACAAATTCGTTGATCTCTCACAGAGTCCAGGGGCGTACAAACGGTGGTTTGTGCCAATGTGGATTCTTGTCGAGATGGGACACAGAGAACGCCGCCGTGGTCGAATACAGACGACTGGACGAATTTGGCCTCGAGAATCGCAACCCATCCAGCGCAAGGGCACAAGTACTTGTGATCTGAAGTGGGAGAAATTCTGACCATGCGGCGCATTGCATCGATCCGCTAGTACGTATGCAATGATGGCCGTGTAGTAGTTAGCACACCCTGCTGTGTGAAATCGAATGGAATCTAGTCATCGGATCGTCGCGTGTCCGTATGGTCACGCCCTCTGTCTCTTGTTACACTGGATTCAAAGGTTGGCGTGTGATGCCGCCTCCACCCGCGTTCTGGGCACTTCTGCGGGCTCTGTTACAGGTGCATCCTGCTTTTCAGGGCACTATGCTATCGTTCACGTCGATGTACCTCCAACGTCGACCTTGGTAACAAAGCGGTTGTTGGAAACTTACCGGATCGCGTCCTCGCTACGGCCGAGTGAGTACAATGCTCAAGACTTCTTAATGTGGGTCACTGGGGACGACTCGTCGCGGACAATTTCTTGGCGGTGCCCATTTCTCTGCAATTCATCCGCCCCCTTGCATGCTAGCTGTCGTGACGGTCACGGGGGAAGACGCAGTCTCACAAATGAAAACGGAAGCCCAAGGGACTGTCTTTCAAGGTCGCATATTCTCGGCCTGGCCAAGAGTAGCGCAAGGCAGAAGGAAGTAGGTGACTTCCAACGCACAGATTCAAGAGTGGATACGATGTAGCTAACATGAAGGCATCCTGCTACGGTATGAGGACGTTGAGAACGCGTCTTCTTGGCTAAAAATCAATCGTTCAAAATCTAGGCTTTGAATCGACATGCCGTTGTCGTGTAAGCGAAGTGGATGGCCATCATCGTCATCCTGGTGTCTCGGTATTTTTCTCGAATGTCATACAAGAGTTTGAACACACACTCGGACGAACGTGGGGCTGCGCTTTCCCGCCGTCATTGGATGATGGATGATGGTCCTGCTCCCAAGTTTGCCGCTGAGGACCACCTTGCGGATGATTGAGCTGACTAACGATGGACGTGGCCGCGACCCAAGGTAGTAGTAGTTTTCACCTCCAACACAGGCTGATCCCAAAAAGAGGCACATGTTTCACCTTGATGAAAGGATGCTAAGCTCAATATTTGCTGGGCCGGATACCGGCAGTACACCTTGGCCTTGGTATTCCGATGAGTCCCTGAACAAATGGCTTGTGTGACATGGTGAACGTGGCTGTTTTGTACAATGGTGTCGTTCGAGCTGTGTTCTTGATAGATGGACGTCCTGTTGCTTTGCGATGACCGCTGCGCGCCATGGTTTAAAATACCTCAAAATATTCTTTCAAACTCGATATTTATTTAATTTTAAGGTTGTTTCGCCTTGCTGAGGTTCTTGTGAAATTGCATATGTGAAAAATACAAATTATAGAGGTTTCCAAAGTTCCCACTTACAGTTAACAAAAGAACTACGGTAACAATTCCTTGGTCGACAATTTTGACCAATCACGTGCACTTCGCCCGATACCAGCCAATTAGGACACCGTAATGATTGAATTAAACAGGTTTGTATGGAAACGAAAGGTCACACCGTGGAAGTCGACACCGCATGGATCTTGTGAATGCCAATGAAGTAGTGATGAAGGAGTGCCTCCATCGCGCTCCCGACGTGAAGGCATGCTTGAGCCATGAACGGATGGGAAATGGTGATCGTTGCGTGGTTGTGACTTCTTGTTGACAGCACGTGCGCGTTGGCTAAACTCATCACACCTACCTCTTGCAGCAAAGCTGGTACATGTTGCCCAAAAGTAGTACATTCGTTCTATCCGTGTAGGTTTCGATGAGAAGTCCTGACTGTGTCTCTGGTCGATGCATAGCCTCTGCTTCTCAAGAACATGAATGCATACTTGTCACGCTATCTTTGAAGTCTTCCTTAAAGCCCTCGTGCTCTCGCTCAATTACCAATGGGGGTGCGGTCACAATGCTATGCGTTGCAACCACAGCTCTGCGTGGCTGTATTTACTTTTGGTAATTCGGGCGGTGTCTCGCGACATGCATTCCCATTGCACATCGTTGATTGGTTGCAGCGGTGACAATCATCCGGATAAATGGATACAACGAAATGGATTGGACAATATCCGGGGGCTCATCCTTTGAACTGTAATCCTTGTTCACTTCGAACTTCCAGCTCAAAGACGGACGCACGATGCCGACCGAGCATCGTGAGGAGAAGGTTCCCCTGGTGGGAGTCCACCAGGCGTCCCCTGTGCCCAAGACACCCAATGGAGGGTACGGATCTGGTTCACCTGACGCGTTGGCGGTGACGATAACACCGCCGACGATCTGTCATCTGACGTACGATTATGTGATCGCATTCCCGCACGAAGCGCCGTTCAACGCGTCAATTTCCAAGCAAGATGTTATCAATCGTCTACACCTCGCGGGTCTTACGACGGAAGAAATGATGTCGACGTCGGCCGTGTTTTGCAAGATTCACGCGGACGTGGCGCGTCTGCAAAAGGAAGCGGCGCGAGTGAAGCTTCCTGTGCTTCTCGACGACATCTTGCTGGCAGAAGTTGCGAAAACTGGTCTCCAGGCGTTCCACATCGATCCGTTTGAGGTAGAGAATCCTCCACCAAAACCCCTGGACATGTTTCGCCGGCCCATCTACCCCCCATACAGCTATATTTACATGCCGTACGCACGAGAGTCGGACCAATCGATCTATGCGTCGCACGACGGTGAGTTCTTCTCAAGCATCCATCGCATGCAGCTCATTGAGAGTATTCTGACCAACGTGAACGGGGGCGGTGCCGGCCTCGATCTCGACATGCTCACGTCAGAGGGCGTACTCGTTGCAGCATACCCCTTGCACTGTGTGACCCAGAAACAAGCCTTGCAGAAGACATGGATGGCGTGGTGTTATCCACCGTGGCAGCAACCTCTCCCAAGCATTCGCAACTATTTTGGTCCAAAAGTCGCATTGTACTTTGCCTTCCTCGGCCATTTTACGACGTACATGCTGTGGGCAGCGCTGTTGGGGCTGGCCTTGACAACGCTGCAAATTGCGCCATCCAAAGTGTCCATGTATGTCGAGGCATCTGTGCTCACGTACGTCCTGCCGGTGTTCGGAGTGGCCATGATGCTTTGGGCCTCCTTTTTTCTCAAGCACTGGAAGCGGCGCAACGCCGTCTTGGCCAAAGAATGGGGGATGTCCAACCTGGACAAAGACGTGACAGACATGGTGATGCTGCGGAACCGACCCAACTCGACCCTCGATGCGATTCTTCGCGTAGGCGGGTCGTGGCTGGTCGTGATCGTGCTGATGGAAGCCATTGTGCTCCTTGTGGGGGCAGTCGTGCGTTTGTACGCGTCACCGACGTCGTCGTCGTACCTCAGCTACTTTGAGGGGAACCTGACACTGTTGGCGGCTATGATTGTGGCACAGATCTTTGCGTTGTCGACGTTCTTTCAATGGCTGTGCGTAAAACTCAACGAGTACGAGAACCACCGGACGACGTCGGCGTACGAGCGGTCGTACGTGCTCAAGCTGGTCTTGTTCGAAGGCGTCAACCACTTTGCTGCGCTGGCGTACTTTGCGTTTTTCGTCGTGATGAACCCTCCCGACTTTGCCTGGCTTGTCTACCGCGTCTACGGCGCTTACATTGTCGTACATCAAGTGCAGCAACTGGTGTTCCGACGTCGCATGCGTCCCACCGCCAACGACATGGAAGCTCAGTTTAGTCTGGTCGAGTACGGATGGAAAGCCAGCATGCTCGACCACTTCAAGCTCGTCCTGCACTTTGCCTTTGTCACGTTGTTTGCCGTCATGTGTCCATTCAACCCGGTCCTGTCGTTCGTGCATTACTCGCTGGAGCTGCGCGTCAACGGGTTCAAATTGCTCACGTTGTGCCGCCGTCCTCGACCCCGAGGGGCCGAGAATTTGGGCATTTGGTACACGGTCATGCATTGGGTGCTCAACGTCGCCGTCGTCACGAACTCGTGGCTTCTTGTGTCGTTATACCCGCGACCAGCGCTCGAACCCACCGTCCCGACGGCCGCTCCAGTGTCTGGCATTGCCGCGTGGCCAACCAACGTGACTTCGTCGCAGCAAGTCGTCCTGTCGCTGATCCTGTGCCTCGTTGTGTGCCGCGTACTCATCATTGTGGGCTACCAGGACACGCCGTCCCGCATACGCCTCCAGTTGGAGCGCCAAGCGTACTACGTCGCAAAACTATACTATAAAGCGTTTGGGTGGCCCGAGCACATGGCTGCAACGCCGTCCTCGGTCGTTTTTGAGTACTGCTTGGCGTTTCCAAACCCGGAAGCGATCGCGAAGAAGGCGACAAACGGCAAGCCGCATGTCTTGGCCACAGTGCTCGACACCTTGAAGCGCATGAACTTTACGTACAGCGTGTACCCGTCCACGGCCAAGTCGTCCACGTACTTGTCATCGTACATATTTTGCGAAGTCCGAGCGACGGAAGCCCAACTCCAGCAAGAAGCGGCGCGAATTCAACTCCCCATGCTTCTCGACGAGATCATGCTCAAGGACTTGGCCCACGAAGGCGTGTTCCAGGCACTACACAAGGGTATGGTCGATGTTGTCGACCGCATGCGCATCGAAGCGACGCGCGTCAACTTGATGCTGCTCGTGGAAAACATGCTGACGCAGCCCGTCTTTCTCACGACTAGCCACACGAACGCGGACATGGCCGACAAACTCGAAAAGTTGCTCGCGACGTTGCACAACCGCGAGCCACGGCCGAGTGTGTCGTTGCCGCACGTGCTGAGCAACTTCAAAGAGTTGATCGAAGTCGACATCGAAGGCGAGCAATTCCGCGACATGGATGTGCCGCAGACGCTGCTGAACCGGATCGAAACGTACTTGAGCACGGGCGAGCAGATCGGGAGGGCGTCTGACTCGGCGGCCACCGTGTCTGCGAAAAAGGTCCCGACGCCATCACACAACGCCCTGAGCTACACCAACAAGAACTTCGACAAACTCCTTGGGCAAACGGTGGCAGCCCTGCATGAAAGACCCCTCAACACACTGTACATGGCGCAAAAACAATGGAAGTTCGGCCTCGAAAAAGTCCTGTGGTGCTTCGAGGAACTCCTCAAGCATTCCGACGTGTCTGCACTTGAGCTCACGTCGTCATCGTCGTCGCTTAAGTGGCTCTCCATGCACCAATACCTCACTACGTTTGATGCCGAGGTCGTGTACCCCAACCTGAACAGCCTTCTCGTTGAGTGCATGTCCCTCTTGCAGACGCAAGGCACGAGCCCGTACAAAGCGTACCAAGAATTCCGAGCCAAGCACCCGCAATCGAAAGTCCTCGAGCTCGTCACGGCCCTCGAAGCGTCCATCATTGCCAACCCTGACGTTGACATCGCTCCATTCTATTTAGGCAACCCGGACCCAAAATACAACCTCCTCGCCAAGCGGTTCAAGTACCGACCGTACCAATTTCTCCACATGCCGTACCGACGCCAATTGGGCAAGTGGCAAGAAGTTTATGCAACGCCGTCGCCGTCGTCGAGCTTCAATTCAGTCCAACGCGTCCACCTCCTGGAGAGTTTGCTCCAGCGCCACATCAACGTGGAAGGATTGCTCGCCCAGCACGTTCTGAAAGCCGCGTTTCCGCTGCATCACAAGGCAGAGCACGACTTGCTCAAGCGCGAGTGGGTGTCTTGGACCCTTGCGCAGCCGTTGGACCGCATCCAGAGCTACTTTGGCGCGAGTGTGGCCATGTACTTTGCCCATTTGGGCCACGCGACCAAGTGGTTGGCTGTTGCCATGCTCGTGGGGGTGCTCTTCTTCGTTTGGCAATCCATGTACTCATTTCAATCGCCTGCAGAAGTATGGGTGGTGCCTGGATTTGGTGTGTTTATGATCCTCTGGGCGACGCTCTGGCTCAAGCACTGGACGCGCGAGACTTCCATTCTGAAACTCCAGTGGGGGCTTTACTCGACCGCGCCGCAGCCGCGGGCTGTACGAGCTGCGTACAGCGGCGACTACATTCGCAATCCGATCACGGGACAGAAAGTCAAGTACTTTCAGAAGAACGCGCGCCTGGTGCGGTGGGTCGTCGGGTGGACAGTCCTCGGTCTGCTTGTGGCCGTGGCGTTGGGGGTCCAAGCTCTCACTTTTTACTTGCAACGGACAACGACGACGACGTTGGACGAGGCGACCGTGAGCGTCGGTGTGGCGCTTGCGCAGGGACTGTGGATCGTGTGCATGAAGCACGGATTTCACGCGTGCATCGTCAAACTGATCGACTACGAGAACCATCGCACCGACATGAGCTACGAGATGGCGTACGTGTTGAAAGCAGGTGTGTTTCATTGCGTGAACAGCTACGCCGCGCTCGTGTATTTGCTCCAAGACCACCACTTGCGCAACAAGCACGCGTTGTACGCAATCTACGGCGTCGAAGTCGTCCTGACGCATGTCATCCGCCTCGTCCGACTGTTTGTCGAGCCGTCCAAGATGGACACTGGCGAAGCGCAGTTCGAGCAACGGGATGCGAACTGGCAAACGACCATGGAAGACCACATCGACCTCGTCCTTCGATTTGGCTACATGCTCGGGGGCGTCGTTGTGTGTCCGTTGGCACCGGCGGTCGCATTCCTCGACCATGTCGTGTCCATGCGGCTGCAAGCCACGCAGGTCATGACAACGACGCGGCGGCCGCGGCCTCGACAAGCGACGAATGCGTGGTACTCGACCATGATGAGCTTCCTCTTAGTCGGCGCAATCGTGTCCAACAGCTACTTGGTCGTGTTTGTCGTCCAGACGTTCGGCCCTGCGTCCGTGCTGTCGACGTTCGACGGGTTTTGTGGCGTGCTCCTTGCCATGGTGGCAGCGCGATTTGTGCTCAACTCGGTCTTCAACGACATCCCAACGTGTGTGACGTCCCAATTGGAACGCCAAGCGTTCGTGGTCGACTCCATCGTGAACGAGCAACCCATGTACATTTCAAACCCATACGCCGCGCCTGCCGTGCTGCGGCCGACCAGCGTCAGCGTACAGAGCGACTACAGTTTGCTCAGTCAAGGCGACGACATCGAAGACAACGACGAAATCGATGCCGAGGGTTTTGTCTAGATAGAGGCCTTCGCCTTTTATATTTCGTACGACGCGTGCATCTCGCGCGTCGACTTGGCGTCTTGTCAGCTTGGAGCTTGTCGGCTTGGCATGTGCTTGAAAGAACGCGACCGTTCCAGCATGATGATTGGCTCAAAAGTGAAACACCCGTGCGTTTTAGCCAATGGCCTTTTAGGAAATCGCGCCAGACTCTATAAATAGACGAGAGGTCAACCGTTTGAGCGACGATTGCCACAAGTCGATACGACAACGATGGAGTCGATCAGTGAGGACGCGGTGGGCGAGATGCATGGAGGCGTACAGCCAAGCAACACGAATACTGCGTCGATCGACGTGGCGACGCCGCGGGGAGCAAAGCGGACTGCGAGCCACCGGCGCGTGCGGTCAATCGTTGTCGGTGGCGCTGTCGAACTCAACAAAATTAAGAAAGAGCAAGAGGTAAAAACGAACCACGACGCAAGCAGTGGGGGGGCGTCGCCTTGATAGAGTTCGCGTTCTTGTTGGCTGTGTAGGTGGAGACGCTGCACAGCGAGTTGGAAAAGCAACACAAGGCGTTGGAAGCGTCGCAGGAAGAAGCGCAGCTCGCCGCACGAATCGGTCAATCGTTGCTCGTGCAAAACCAACAGCTCGACTACGAAATGGAATCGAAATTGACTGCAGTACGCATGCAAATATTGTCCACTGTCGACTTTGACACACACACAACCCATGGTGCCGTCGGTAGTTGAAGCATCGCAGCGAAGAAGCCGATCAACATGTCAAGGTGGGGCATCAAACCATTGCAGCCAAGTGAACGTACCGTGTGGACAGTAGATGTTGGAGCAAAAACTGCACGACATGACGTTGCTGCACCGAGAAAAGGACCTCCATCACACACAACTCATACGAGAAAACGACGCATTGCTGTTCGACTTGTCGCAAGCCAAGTACGTGCCCACCAGCCATGCACCGCCCACGGGTGGTACGTATAAATGCATGTCATATAGAGCCGCGATCAAGCCATTGAAGGACGAGTTGGCCAAGGCCAAGGACGAGGTCAACGTGCTCCAAGTCGCGACGGTCCGTCTACAATCCGACACAACTGCGTTGGAAACGAGCAACGAGTCGTTCAAGAGGCAATGTTGCAAGCTCGAGGCCGAGCGCGCATTTCTCGTGGCGCAAGTGAGCGATGTACGTGGACGGTTTGCGACCATCCAGAGTCTGTTTCGTTGCAAAGCTCATGTGGCACTCATGGACAGCTTCGCGACGTGTCGCGGGAGAACGACGTCCGCATCCACCAGCTCACCGCGTCGCTGGCGGCGATGACCCAAAAGTACGACGAGCTCCAAGACCAATTCGACTTTCTCAGCGACAAGCACGCAGAAACCACGCAACAATTGGAAGCTCTGGTACCCAGCCATCGTCGCTCGATGTGACCTCACCACGGCGGCGCGCAGACTATCCAACATCAACGAGTCCAAGAGGAAGCAGCGATTGCAGCCCAGCACGTGCGAGTGATCGAATCATGCACGTCCGTTGAGCCAACGTCGGGATCTCTAGGTCGCAGTCCTTACGTCGGACGTTGACAGCATGTCCGAACTCCTGGAGCAAGAGCGACAAATGACCCAAGACGTGCTGCAACAACACAATGTAAAACCCGATCGTACCGTTCAAAATCGATGAAGTTGTACGCAATGTTAGGAGCTTGTCGAAAGCATTGCCAACGGAAACCCATCGCCGCTGACGCCAAGCAGCCACCGCCGCCAACCCAGCGAGTTTTTCGTGTCGAACTCTCCAAGCATGGCACGGTCCGATTCTTCCGACCACCACACGATATCGTCGTCGCGGCAGCTACGCCAAAGCTCTAGCATGGACGACCCTGATCGTAAGCCAAGCGAGTTCGATGTCGCCACCATGCTGCATCACGAGTCAGCTCAAGAAAAACGACGGGCCGAGGTGCTGAAGAGAGGATCACTTTTCCATGAACTGTCCATTGAGCTCGAGAAGGAATTTATGAAGGCGAAGCAACGATCGTGGGACCTCCTCACGCACACGTCGTGCACCAACTGCTCCGCCTTATTGGAACGTGAGTCTGAGCTGACCCAACAGGTATGGCATTGGGAAATGCAAGTGGTCAAGCCGGTTGGCCCTCACGTAGGTAGCTACCCTGACGCTGGAAGTGCAGCATCTGCGCGAGGTACTATCTCCGCTACCCAGGTCCATGCTCTTGCGTATTGACATGTTCGGTGTAGATTTCCGGACGAACGTCACCCGTGAAGGCCGTGGGGCGACGTGAAAGCACTTCATGCACGACTTGCTCGCTGTTGATGCATCGGGAAGCCGAGCAGACCCAGCATGTACGATTCTGTTTGTTTTAGTGCCCCCTCACACAGGTTCTAGGTCGTCGCGCTGTCGCAAGAAGTGCACAGGTTGACCGCCCTCGTTGCGTCCATGTCCGAGCCATTGCCCGAAGAAAATGTACTCAAAGAGGTACGTTGATCGAGTCGATGATGGACGACGTCCGGACCGACCACCCTCGTTCGATCGATAGTTTTTTGTGCTCACGGCTGCAGCCATCAAGATTGCAGGTGCCGGCATCCACAACGATCGATGCAACATTGCAAACGAGGTACTAGAGAACTGGCTGGAGATATGGGCTCAAGACTTGGTGGCGGTAGGCCTTGTTTGACCAAGCCATGCTCGAAGACATCACATTCGAGAGATTCCACGATTGGATTCATGCTCGCCTTGAGTCTCCTCCGTAAGGTTCATTCATATTCTTTCACCGCACCATGTCGTGTTGTGGTTGACATCGTCGCGCCGCCCTACTCCCCCACCGTCCGTATCGAGATTCATTTCTACATCGTCGCAAGCTCCACCCTTGCGCGTACGCATGCACGTTCGATGGGCATCGTCATCCCCTGTAAGACAACGTGACTGCTGTTGTGACAGCGCGTTTTCTCAAACTATGAAAAAACGCTGCGTTGGGCAGCTCTACGGTCTAGTGGAATCGTCATAGCTGTCCTGGACAATGTCGGGGGGATCACAGGCGATAAAGGGGGACTCGATCGCGACATCGAATCGCGTCGTTGGGCCTAGAGGCGATTTTGGGGGACATGGCACGGGCAAAACGTGCATCAGGCCATCCAGATTGACAGCACTGTCCGCCTCGTACGTCCTCGACATGTGCCAACGAAACGAACCTTGATGAATGTAGCACGCTCGCATGACCCCATTGTGTCCTGGTTCGACCAAACAAATGGGTCGAATCGGTCCCGAGGACCTGCGTTCGTGGAGGTGGAAGTTGTGCAAGGGTTCGACGAGGAAGTCCGAGACGACTTTGCGGCCGAGGGTCCCTCGGCTCGCGCCGACCATCCATCGCGTTGGGACGATGCCCCTTCGCACCTGCGTGTAACTTGCGATCGGTTTCACGGTGGGGACCGTTACATGCAACAAAACCTGATGTGGGGCGTGAGCGGCCTGGCCGTTCGCCTGGTGCTCGTCACGGCAGCGGTCGCCATGGTGGTGGACAGCCTTCTCCACCGACTGTACGCACGAACGGACAGGGGCAAGGTATACATGCTCACTGCAGTCGACGGCGGCAACTGGACCGAGTGGAGCTGCCCGTACGGCTTTGGCGTTCGCCACGTGATCGGCACCGCCAACGACCGAGACTTGAACGTGATGTTTGCAGTCGGCCCCGATCGACACGTGTATCAGATGCAAGAGGATGCCGAGTCGCGGACGTGGCACGAGTGGCAATCCTTGTCTGGGGTGTCGCATGTGACCAAGCTAGCGAGCAGCCGCGATGTTGCCGGATCGTGGCGGGTGTACGCCATCACAACGTCCCACAAACTGGCAGTGACGTCGCGGGACGCGCTTGGCTGGTGGACCTTTGATGGAGATGTGATCGATGCAGTCGCCACTGCCGATGCAGATGGCAACCACCAAGTCATGTCGATTATGGCAAACGGAACGATGTGGGAATCCACCGAAGTACGTGGCGTGTGGAGCACGTGGAATGTTCTCCAACCCAGCCAAGTTGAAAACGACCCCACCTTTCGCACGATCAGCATTGGAACGAGTCGGGACGGCTACAGATGTGTTTGTGGTGTCAGTGCCGTCGACTCGAGTGTGTGGGCGCGACTTGAAACTCCCAATGGATGGCTGCCATGGAAGCACTTGGAGAACGAGGCAGTGCACGTTGGGGTGGTTCGAGGAATCGACAACACGTTTGTCCTGGTCATTTTGGATTCGAATCAGTACCTCCTAGTGGCCACGTTAGAAACAGTGCGCAGCGCCGCATCCGTCGGGGTTACATCCTGGTCGCCGATTGCTTCACATGTGCAAACGTTTGAGTTGAGTTCGATGCCGCGGGCGACCGCCGTCAACACGTTGTTCTTCCTCGACCTGCACGGCTCGTTGTGGACCATGGATCAAGAGTCTACTGGTGACTGGACCACCGCCACGTCGGCGGCACCTTCGTCTCGCCTGCGCCAACTAGCACAGACACCCTCACCCCGCCTGCTGCCTGTCGACGGCCGATCGCCAGTCTATGACAGCGTCCTTGTGGTCCAGGAGCTGTTTGGTTTGACGAGCAATTCGACTGCGTACCGCCGGGTCCAAGACATCTTTGGGACGTGGTCCGACTGGGCATTGTACGCGACGAACGTGAGCCAACTCGTTAGCGGTCCCAAATCCGGCCAAGTTTACGTCCGCGATCTCGATGGGATGGCATATCGAATGATGGAAACGGGGATGGGACGGTTTGTTCGTCGGATTCCATTGGGAAGCACCCGCGTCGCCAAGATTGAGCAATGCTACATGCCGTACTCGATGACGTCGCTCGTGTTTGGTTTGGAAGACGGCACCGGGCGCATTCTCGAGTCCGACTCGGCATCAACGTCGCTGGGATGGCCACAATGGGTACCCCTCCCGCCAGCTCCGACCCCTTGTCGGGACTTTTCCGTGGCGCCGAATGTATACTTTGGCTTGTCCGTCTTTTGCCTGACGACGACAGGAATTGTGTATGAGCTTGCGAAAGATGACATGGCGAGCGAGTGGTCTCCAAGTGGGTGGGTCGGTGTGCCGTACCAATTCCAGGGCGCGCCGGACGTCGAGAGTGTGCCACCTTTGGTGCAAATCGAGGCGATTCAAGGAACCCAAGTCGGGCTAATCGGCCGCGATGTGACCAACAAACTGTGGGCGCTGCTCCAGCACCTGGACGGGACGTGGGCCGACTTTTGGTACCCCAACATGTTGTCGGGCAGCAGCTCTCAGATCGCGGTCAAAGTCGACTGGCAGGGCTACATTGCCGTGTACTTTACGTCGTCCGACGGGATGTCGTTCCGAGAGCAAAAGCAGTCGTCGCCCGATTCGTTTGATGCTGGCACGCAGCTTCCGATCCCGATAGAAGCGTTTGCCACGACGTCCGACATGAGCGGCCTCAACCAGCTCTTCCTCTCGCAAAGCTCTGGCAAAACCAGTGGATTCGTCAAGACTGTCGACGGCACGTGGGACCTGATTGTGTCGTTCGCGGACGTGAATCACTTTACAGCGCTCGTCGCAACCGAGTCGACGCGCGTCCCTGGGAGCCAAGAAGCGTACGTCGTCTTTGAAAATCGAACGGCGTGCCGCCTTGTCCGCGACTTTCGCGGCAAGTGGGAGTCCGAGTGGCACGTTTGGATCGACAATGTCAAGCAAATCATTCCAGGCGCCACTCCAAGCGATGCAGTCGCGCTCGACATGGAAGGCATGGTGTATGCGATCAAGGGCGGCGGGGCGGTACGGCAGCCGCTTGGCATTGCCACCATGGACAAAATTCTGGCGACTCGATCGCTGCTCTTTGCTATCGACGCCACGTCCAGCGCGCTCAAGGAATGGACCGTCGGCGACGACGGCATGTTCAGGTTTGAGTGGAGGGCTGTACCTAGCGCTATCCGTTGTGTCGACATCGCAGCGACTCCTGACGCGATCGACCAAGCGGCGATCTTTTGCGTTGACGCCATCACCAATACACTCAAGCACGCGACCAAGTCATTCCACGTCGACGGGACATGGACCGGACCGTGGACGACCATCGGAGGGTCGACCGGTGCGCGATCGTGGCAATCGATTGCGGCCGCAATGAGCCGCAGTGGGTCCCTTGTCGTGTTTGCTCAAGACGTCAGCGACGGCTTTCTGTACATGCTGCAACAAAACGGTCCAAGGGGCAGTTGGCCGATGACGTGGACGTTAGTGTTGCCGCAACGAGTGGCGTCCTTTACTCCCGTGGCATCGGCGTCTGGGAGCTTATCCGTCATCGCGTTGACTTCGTCGGTTCTCGTCAACGTCGATGTGGACAGCGCGGGAGAGGTGGCCCTGGCGATGCCACAAACGTCGACGACAGCGTTTACCGTGGCTCAAGACCCCAGCCAACAACCTCAGCTCTTTTGTGTCGATATGGCGACTGGCCGAATCCACGTGACCTTGCCTGCGGTTGCCGCGAGCCGCACAGAGACGTTGCCGCCTCTCGACAACGCCACGATCGTGGCCATTTTCGCAACCGTGCAGGCGAACGTGGTTCCATCGAGTGGATGACCCCCCCGCGTCATGGACACCACCAACAATCGTATTTATTTTCATGCCTCTTGTCTTTGCATCCCTCGGTCGCCTGGCTCGCTTCCAAGTCGATGTTGACCTCAAGCAAAGACCAGGACGACGACAGTCGTGTCATCGTGGACGCTGCGGCGCTTCCGCCCTGGCGCGAGGTCCAGGAGTTGGCCCAGAGTAAGTCTACACACACACACGTTGTTTCCCGTCGAGACAAGGCGCTTGTGCCAGTCTGACGTACTTTTCAACGAGAGCAGCCTTCGTCAAGACTGCTTCGACAATGGCGCGGCTGGCCTCGTCCGCCTCGCCGCGGGCAACGCATGCTTGGACGATATCCACGGCCTAGTTGGCGATGGTATATCGATCCTCCAAAGGGACGTCATTTACCTCTTGGTTTGTCAAAAAGTCCCACACACCATCGCTGCCTAACTCGACGCGTCAGGCAAATACATCGATCAGGGTAGATGGGGGAGTACCAAGGATGAGGAATTTGTCTGCGCCTGTGACCACGTGCGAAAGGGTTTCGGGCAATGCGAGCACATACGGAGGAGTGTACGGGTCGGCAATGTGGCGGCCACCAGCGCGAAGCGTGGGGTCGGCGGGGCCGTTGAGTGACGCATCTTTGAACGCAAAGTCCCCCAAAGCGCTAGAGATCAACTTGGTTCAGCTGGGTTTGCCAGCATGCGTCGGTACCGAGTCGGCTGGAGGCCGCCTTTGACATAGCACGATTCGGGGTGCTTGCACACGACGATGTTGGGCTCGTTCGGATGGGCCTGGCTCAGTCGGGCCATCTCAACTGGCAGCTTGGCATTGTGGTCGTTGCTCATGGGAATCGCAACAAGGGAGTCGCTTTCGACCGACCCGAGCACCGCACGGCAATCCCCCGCTACGAATTGCGTTGGTTTGCTACAATGGGCACGGTAGGCTCCAGGACGAACCGTTCGCAACCACGAGCATGTCGTCTTTCAAATACGCGAGCTGCGAACAAGCGCCGACGCGGTTGACTTGGTGGAAGCCCATGTTGAATGCCGGCCGAACGATTTCCCGAATGTCGAGATCTGTTCGCAAAAACGCTTGTTGCAGCGCCGCTTGTACCTGGTCGCAAGGTGGGATTCTGGCTTGTCAGAAGAAAAAACAACGTTAGCTGTGGATTTCGCATGCAACTTGTTCAATTCGGCTTGGGCGTTCTTGATTAAGTGGTCGTGGGCGTACTGGGACACTTGCCAGCCCCCTACCACGTTGTCGTCACGCCGGTGTATGCGAGCGAGATATGTCTACCATGGCCATCAAGCACCGCAGCGTACACAACTCCATCTTTAGCATGCACAACAAATCGATCCTACCTTCAACTCGTGTAGATCCGTCCATGGAAAGGATGTCGACGTACCTCGATCGGGTTGTTTGCCTTATAGGACGCAGCCGAATAACTTTGAACTCCAGCGACGGGTGTTTGGAGCTGGCGGTTGAGCACACGATCCAACGGGACTGAAGGATTTTCAGTTGGACTCTGAACGCGATCAATCGGGGACAGTGGAGGCGCGTCGCAAAGCGCACTCCCCATAGCCGCAGCCGACGCAGCCATGGCCATGCCCATCCATGCCATGCGCGACGGATTGGAGTTGGCTTGTTGTTCTGCAGTTGAAATCGTATGCACCACAACTGCAGATCGCTTTGCCGATGCAGACAGAACTGATGAGGTCGCGACCCGACCGACAGCGTGGCGGAGCATTCGTGCAATTTTCAATTTGGGTGATGATAGATGCATTCTCGTATTGGTAAAAAATCAACCAATTGATTTGCGTGAAATTCAATCCTCATTTCATTTTTTAACCAATCCAATTCAAAAATTATCATGCAACGGCCTGAGCAACCCACGGACGACAGATTGCAGCGAACGCCGCCCGAATCATGGCCGCTGCCTTGCCCATGGCAGGCTAGTACCCCCATCACCAACTACCTCATCGCGTCATGTCAACGTGTTCGGGATCTATCGATGTCCTCAACCAGACGAGTCGTCTCTGTGAAGAACGCATGGGGTAAAGCTGCCCGCGCTACTACTGCTGTACTTCAGTAGTATAAATAAACCCAAATATTTGGGTGCATTTATATATACTTTAAATTTTTCAAATAATTACATTTTGATCCTAATTTAGTCGAAAACCATAAAATGATCAAAATTGAACTTTTTAAGATAAAGTCCTTTCCTAACGTTTGTTTCGTGAATGTTTCGTAAAGGGGTAAATATACGTGAATATAGAAATTGATATATCCTCTCCCAAGTTGGCACGAATATTCCAGAATTTTTGTCGATATTTTTGCTTCAGGCGAGAAACGCGTCACTCTATTTAAAGGTTGACCAAATGACTGGAATTTGCTTCGAATGCGATTTGAACTACGCACTCGTCTCCTACCAAAGCCCAGCCACGCAAGATGAAGAAAGCCTTTCAAGATAATGCACGCATGATGTTCCTGGGGCCACCTGGCGTCGGCAAAGGCACGTACGCCACTCGCATAGCTCCCAAGTTGAACATCCCGACCATTTCCACCGGTACGATCGCCGCCGTCAGTGTTGACCCCACATGGATGGCTTGGCAGGCGACTTGGTTCGCGCCGAGATCAAGCGAGACTCGGCTTTGGGCAGACAAATCAAGGAGTTCAGCGCGACTGGCAAGTTGGTCCCGGACGAGATTATCTTGACCATGGTGCGAGCCCGCCTGCAAGAACCGGACGCCAAGCGCGGGTACATTCTGGTAAGTTTTGCATACAGTTCCATCACCCAGCTTCACATCTCGGAAGGATGGCTTCCCTCGCAACGCCAGCCAAGCTGTCGAGTTCGACAAAATCGATACGTTGGATCTCGTTGTCAACTTTGACTTGCCCGAATGGGTGCTCTTGGAGAAGATCAGCGGCCGTCGGTAGGCCTCTATCGAGTCATTACGAGCCACTTTGAACCAGCTTCTTCCGTGTAGAATGTGCTCGTCGTGCGGGACAGGTTTCAACGTTGCCAACATCAACAGCGGCGAGTACGTCATGCCCCCATTGCTTCCAAAGGTTCGCGTCTCCTAGGCAGCGATGTGGTAAGCAGCCGAGCTGACGTTTAGTGTATTTGCAGGTGGACGGTGTTTGCGACAAGTGTGGCGGCGCGCAGCTCGTGCAGCGACCGGACGACGCCGTCGACGTCGTGCGACACCGGTAGTTGCAATCTCGCGCGATGCAAGTTGACGTTGTGGCGCAGGTTACAAGTGTATGCGGACGAAACGGAGCCATTGATAGCTTACTACGAAGCAAAAGGTGCATGCGACGTCAAACGGATATGTTCTCACGACTGGCTTCGTAGGAGTGCTCCAAAACTTCCACGTGACCAAGGGCCTAGCCGACTTGGATCGATTGATGCACGTCTTGGGGATGCCCGCTTCTGCTACCAGCAACCTGTAGCATGGTGCGTGCGAGCCTAGACTAGTCGGCACTGAATGCATTACCACGACACATAAACAGCTCCATGCATCTTCTAAACGGTTCGTTTCAATTGGTAATAAGAGCCGAGCTGACTCGCAAACGCCGTGATGGCCTCGACAAGCTCTTCGCCCGACGATCGAATCGACGCACTTGGTGCCATAAAGCCATTCTCCCCTCGTAGCTCGATCGTCAACGACGGAGTTCGGTTGAAAGTCAAGTACACCATGTCCTTGAACGTTCCTAGCATACTCCATAAAGCCACCACATGCGCGATTCCAACGGCTTACCAGAGTACAGCAAGCCTTGGTACAGCGCATGCCCTGGAATGCTGGTGTATGGCACGCCTCGGGTCGTTCCACTAGCTACAATCACGTCAAACAGGCCGACTCCGCTCATGGGAATGGGCACCGCACCGGCATTGTTCATGGCGTTGGCCACATACTGTCCCAACGTGGACATGGCGGCTTCATCGTTGCCAGGCAAAGGTTCCTGTCAACTCAGCTTCGTCACAGCGTTGCACGTACAAATTGCAGTGGATCGCATACGCTGGAGACAGAAAGGGGACGCACAACGACCCCCGCCGTCGTGTGGATATCGAGAGCTCCACGCAGACGTGTTTGGATCGAGTCGAGAAACGCTGCAATCTACATCGTCCATGTGGAAAGCCACGTGCGTACGTAATTCCGTACCCCTCGCGTTTCAGGCTCGCTAGTGGCATACAGACCAGAATACATCTCACTGAACTCGTCGCTCGACGGAGTGAAGAAGTCTCTCGGACCAAAGTTTCGATTCAAGTCGACCCCGTGCAAGTTCTTTCGCCACAGGCGGTTCCTCGGGGCTGCCCACGTGAATCGATACCCGTCCACATTCACGACAGGGACAAACACCACGTCATACGCCGCCAATGCCTACGACCACTCTTGAGTTAGGAATTCGAGTTTCCTGTTCTTGAACGATCGCAGGTCCTTTCCTTGGATGGTGGCGTCGTCACGATTCGTGTCATGGAGTACACGATAGATGAAATGGAAACCCATTCCCGAGGGTGGATACCGGCTTGGATGTACAGCAATGACCGGTCTTTGGACGGCGCCATGGAGTCGGTGGAAGCCCAGTTGTAGCCAAATATGGGCCGTCCTACGTCATCAGGAAAGCGTCGGGTGGAGTGGCTGTGTACGCACCTTGAACAGAAGTGGCAATTTGGACTTTGGACAGCTGACGGTGTGGTTGGTCCACACGCAGCAAATGCTCGAGAAACACAGAGATTTCGTCGTGGTTACGAAAGCAGTCGAAAAAGGGATGCAGGGTGTTGACTGAAGCCGTTGTGTTTGTGGTGCCTTGGCTGTGGTCATGGCAATTTTGGGTGTCGATTGCTTCACGTTGCCAAACATCCAAGACGGGTTTCGTCGGTAGCGGAAGCCCACACGAGAGAATGCACATCAAGATTTGCCAACAACGACGAGCCATGGTGTCGACTTGAACAATACACTACAGGGCACAATCGGCATCCAGCTTGATGGTAGCGGACCTCGCCCATCCATCTTCATTCTTTATTTTGACTACCGTGGCTCGCATCAAATGGGACTGCCGTTGCCAGCATGGACGCGACGAAATGTACTGGTGCCATTGTGACGACGGTGCGTGCCCCTTTATCCGACACAAAAAAAAACGGTTCAGGAATCCGTACCCTTTCAAGATTCCGTTGTAGCCAATCAAACGCGAGCATTTGGATTAATTGCACTATTTTATCCAATCCGTCGTAGTCTCAACATCCACTATATTTAGTGCCGACCAGATCGCCAAACGCCACGCGCGGGTCGATGGCACGGCGGGGTCAACACGGTATTCTTCAACTCTCGTTTGGATGGTAGCTCAACCGCTTGTTGTGCTGGACGCAGCGAACGTTGCCACGGTCGTGCGAGGGGCCGTGCGAATCCAGCGGTTGCAAAGTGCCATCGACCACTTTGAACGAGTTGGGGTTCGGTGCATTGCGTTTGCTCCGGGATACTGGACCAAGTCGAAAGCCGTCACTCCACGAGGTCGGCAACAACAGTCTGCGGAGATGGAACTTGACCAAAAATCCGAGATGGCGCTCGTGCAACAGCTCGTTCTCGCCGAGAAAGTTGTGTTGACTCCTCCCCAAGCGCATGACGACCTGTTCATTATCGACTACGCGATGAAGCACGACGGGTTTGTCTTGACGAACGATATGTTTCGCGATCATGTGGCCAACAAGGTAAGGACTCGATAGCTCGTGGTCCCTCGCGGTTCACATGGAAAGTGATGGCAGATGCAATTTCATGGCAAGGAGTTGACTGAAGCGTGGGTGAAGAGCAACTGCATCACGTTTGCTTTTGTCGGCACCGAGTTCCTGCCCAGTGCGCAGCACATGCAGGCCCTCTTGCGCCCAAAGCACCCACTACCCAAAACAGTTGACGTAACTAGCAGTCCTCGATCCAAGGCAGTGGAAGGAAGTCCTCGACTCTCCACCAACTCGATGGCCACCAAGCCTGGGCTTACCAAAAAGACTCCGCTTCCTGCTGCGCCAAGCGGTCGTTCCAGCAGTCCACGTGCCAAATCTCCAGCTTCCTCCAGGGACAACAGCACCACCAAGATGTCGGACACCCGGACGACCGCGGCACGTCTGACCATCATCACATCACACTCACAACCCCAGCCGCCAGACGACGAATTGAGCTTTGAAGAGGAAGTTCGCACAAGTCTTCATCCCTCCACAACTGAACAGGCTCCACAAAAACACCAACGCACAGCAAAGACACCAGTGCAGTCGCGGGTCTCCACACCGCGTCATAGCACGCCGCCCAAGTCCAACAACATGTACAATTCCCTCGACGAAACGTCCGCATCCAGCGACGACGACAAGGCGCACCGCAGCAAGAAGCATGCAAGCCAACACGAAGAGCCCCACGAAAGTCGGCCGAATATCCTAAACGACTGGAACGCACTCCAGTCGATCATTGCCAAGTGCAATCTGCCAGCGGTCGCTGTCCGCTCGACCAACAACCAAGAAGACGACATCTCTGTCACACATCCCAATCCAAACCAGACTGCCGTCGTCGCCACGAAGGTATTGACTCCATCGCAAAAAAAGCGAGGACGTCGACGTGCAAATTTGAAGAAACAAGCTGCCGCTGCAATGGTGTACCGCGGTAAGCTCTGGGTCCTCTGCGCTATCCCTTTGGTGGGGGGATTGGTGCTAAATTCCTTTCTTAGTGCGAACCCCCCATCCATAGGGAGAGTGTGAATTAGATCGTTCCAGCGGGGCTGGTTGCATCTGCTCTGTGGCAACCCCGCAGTGCCGATAGAATTCACAGCAATTTACACTCGTTGCCGTGTTTGCTTCGCCGTGTCTCGGCTGTGTGGAGCACACGCTAACGACGCCCCTTCGCAGAGCCACTCAATGCAGTCTGATCAAAAGGTTAGTGCTAGTCGGCAGCGGGATCATGACGCCCAACCACCACACGTGGGAACAGTGGTGCCCCCGCCTATATTGTACTAGACTCGCGCTCCTTTTTGTTATTCGCATCAGCATCATGGCACGTAGCGCAACTCGAGTGGGAGTACTCGGTGCTGTCACATCCGTGCGAAGACATGGTGTTGTAGTCGTGGTGATTCATCTCTCGCCGCAAGGTGTCCACAACAAGGACGCCGCTCTGGTTGCAAAGCGAGGGCTTCCTTTCACTGGGAATTTTGCGGCGGCGTCAATGACTCTTCGCGTGGCTGCAGAAGCCTCGATTGCTATGTGCACCGGCACCGTCGCACTGTCAAACCTTTATGCAAGGGCAGTGCTACATACTCCCCTGAGTTGTCGGACTTTGATTGAACGGCACAAGGTGGCGCCGATGGCTGCACTGCCCTACGTCGTAACGACCGAATGGATCTGAGGACATCACATCTGAGAGCCAAGATGTCGTCCGCGTGACGCAATTTGTCTTGGTGACGAGGCACGCACCTTCCCAATGCGCCAACAGCAACGGTACAATGTGGCTGGATACAAAGACGACCAGGTTTCCCACTGTCAGCACCGGCCGAGGCCACCGTAAGAAAGCGTGTACGAGAAGCGGAGCCGACTACGAGACGACGATGGCTTGAGCTCGGTCTCTGGATCGTCCGGTGTTCCGCCTGCCGCATCCCATCGCGCTCAATTTTTGATCATCACCCATTAAGATCTGTGACATTTGATATAATTCAATATCCAATATCAGAGGTATCATAAATTGATCGGAGCGGATCTTTGACATGTCCTTTGGGGGGAAGGTCGTCGCGTTCACGGGCAAGCTCGAGACATGCACGCGCGCGGAAGCAGCGACGATGGTAAAGGACGCGAGCGGTGCTGTCTCGTCTTGCGTGACGAAGAAGACGACGCATTTGGTCGTGGGCGGTGACGGCAAAGTTGACAAGGCAGCACCGGGAGTTGTGATTTGGACAGAGGCAGAGTTCATGGCGGCGTTGTCATCCAGCACAGACGAGACAGAGGAACCTGCACCACTCATCCCTGTGACGGTCAAAAGCGACGCGACGACATCTAAATTGTTGGAGGGAAAGGTAGTCGCGTTCATGGGAAAACTCGCGACGTATACGCGAGCAGAAGCGGCGTCCAAGGTCAAAGCTGCCGGTGGAGAGGTGTCTTCCAGCGTGACGAAAAAGACAACGCACTTGGTTTCGACGGAAAATCATAAGGCGGTACCCGGGGTGGTGGTGTGGACTGAAGCGCAGTTCACGGCGGCGCTTGCACCTGGCGACGCGGGAGCAGGACCTGCATCACCGATTGCCACCGATGTGAAAAAGGAAACATCATCATCTCCAGCAATTGGCAAAGGGAAAAAACGTATGGCGTCTGCGGACGCGCCGGCGACGCCCGTGAAGAAAGCCAAGGTCAAACACAGTGCCGAGTTGCCTGTCGAGTCGCCCATTCGCATCACGACTCGAAAACCCGACAAGCACTTGGCATCGCGGGATCAATTCACAATTGTCAACGACTTCACGGCGGATTTGATGCAAACCAACATTGGCGAGAACAACAACAAGTTTTACATCATTCAACTGCTCCAGTCCACGCCATCCCGCTACCTCGTGTTCACGCGATGGGGGCGGCTCGGCGACGTGGGGCAGCAGCAGCTTGTCGATTGTGGCGATAGCCTTGACAAAGCAGTGCAGCTTTTTGAAAAGAAGTTCAAGGACAAAACCAAGAACAACTGGTGTAATCGGTACGCATTCGTCAAACGGGACTTTCAATATCAGTTGGTTGAGCTCGATGCGTCCGAGTCGGGGGACGGCGGCGGTGGCGGGGACGCGGCCATGGGCAAGTTGTCGGCTGCCCAGATCGAGAAAGGCCAGGCAGTGCTGGAGAAACTCAAAACTGCCATTCAACAAGATCCCAATGCCGTGACAGCTCTGTCTGGCGAATACTACTCGCTCATCCCGACTCTGAGCGGCCGCCAGCGGCCGCCCCCGCTCACCACGATGGAACGGATTGAAGAAAAGGCGGCTTTGCTTGGTACATCGGCTTTCGCTCTTTCCAAGCCATGCACGTGGACATGCACCAACGAAAGGATGTGTAGACTTTTGGCTTCGGATGGGATTTGACGACATGGGAGAGCAATCGGGCGTGGCTCCAATTCAAGGCATCATGGACTTGCCATTGCCAACGAGTCTGTTGGCTGCGTCGTCTGGCATCACTACTGGTACTCTATCAAACATGGTCGTCATGGCTAATTCTTGCTGGACGACCGTATCAGCCGCCGCGATCAAGCAGAGCCAGTCTCGAGGGGCAGAGCTGGCCAAGAGCAACGCAGGATCGCCGACAGGTCCCATGAACAAGGTCATCCCGTTGACGCTGGATGTCCCGGGTTGATGTCGATATAGGATTTATATGGCTCCATCGTGCTGTACACTGGAAATTGGATCTACGCTCAGCTCAACTCGACCTTGCGGTACGGCATCCATCGCGGAAACGACTCGATCCCGTTCTTGGTAGTTCCGAGAACCGACAAGCCATTCGAAAGTACTTCA